ACTTCCATTTTTAGCCCCTCAGTATACGCTTGGATTTTTTCCCCTTCGGTCAGGTCGGTAATTCGGTTGAAGAGGCTCTCCATCTGCTGCGTGTACTGTGTTACACTGCCGTACTGTTTGTGCCGATGAATCTCATGCCGCGCCATGTAGCTGGAATTGATCGGTTCGAAACGTTGAATTAAAGCTGCCCGAAACTGCGTCCATGACCCCTCGCCTCGGATCTCCTTACTGTTGTAAATCCATTCGAGCGCCGGGCCTCGCAACAGTGTCGCTGCGAGCCGAATCCGCATTGCATCGTGTGTCGGGGTCGTACAGCCAACGGCCTCGAAGTAAATTTCGAGGGTCGCAATGAATCGACGGACGTCGGTGTCTCTCGCATTCGGATTGAACGTCTCCGGTAGCCTCGGACGTGCCGCCTCAAGATTCATTTTAGCCGCTGCCGCTGCTGCTGGGTGAAGTGTCGGTGTCGCAGCTGCTGCCGCTACCGTCGCTGCTGCATTCGCTGCTACGTTCGCTGCTGTTATGGCGGCTGCCGACTGGTTCGCGAGAAGCTCCTCTATTCGCTGGAGTGCCGCTCGCATCTGGTCCACGTCGGTGCGTAACTCCGTATTTTTTCGTACGGAATTATCACCATTTTCCTCCATTTGGCGATTTACAGGAAGATTTGCGACGGAAACAATTGCAGTCTATGCGCTGGTCAACTTACTGCGAACAAACTCGACTGTAGAAATGACGAGCGCTAGATCCGTACGCCACGTAATTCTCCCTCACTCGAAATTCGCGTCTGATCTCAGCCGTTGAGAAGAAAATCGATCTGACGGTCGAAATTCCAACTTTTTCGCCAATGAACCTGAGAAGAATTCGTAAACCGGTTCGAGGGGGACGTTAAAAAATAGCGCGGAACTGGTTTACGTACCCGAAATCGGCGCTTCCTGTCGTCGCCCCCGCGGTTTTAAAAACTAGTTTTGAGCGGTCGAAAAACTTCGCGTGTAAACAGGCTCTGATTACCAAGTGTAGGGATATACGATCGAGCTCAGGAAAGAGGGTTTGAATTGAATGATCACCTGGGTACAACACGAGGCTATATATATAGGCTCGACACAAGGGGCAGTAACCAGGTGTTACGCGAAGGTTCTGGGGGTCGCGAAGCGTCCCGAACAGACCCTTCCCGAATTCGGTAGAAGGCAATTCGGTGGCAACCGAATAGCCCAGAATTCGGTGTACGCAACCTAGCTCGGTGCTATAACTATAATAAAATATAGGAAAGCACCTAGCCTAGGAAATCAAGCAATTCATGCATGCATAAAATAAACCTAAGCTAGAAGTAGCGTAATAGAGTAAAGGCAGGCATGCATAGCTGGCATAAGCCGTCGTACTCTCACAGGCACGACACACTGAGGACTACACTTGCAGCTCTTCGGTTAGCTCCTTTTACTGCTGACCCGTTGATTTTTCTGCGCACCAACACTTCGCTGCCGCCGTTCTACATCCTCGTGTACGTTGACGACTTGGTCTTTGCCACTGCTGACACGGAGGGACTGGCTCTAGTGAAGTCGGAGCTGCAGAAGAGACACACCTGCACTGACCTGGGTGAGCTGCGCAACTATCTTGGCTTGCGGATCACCCGGGACAGAGCACGCCGCACCATCACCCTGACTCAGTCACACATGGTGCATCAGGTCCTTCAGCGCTTCGGCTTCCAATTCTCCTCGCCACAGTCCACTCCTCTGCCTACCGGTCACTCGCTCTCAGCTCCACCTTCGGACGAGTCCGTAGAGCCGAGTGGTCCATATCCAGAGCTTGTGGGCTGCCTCATGTACGTGATGACTTGTAGTTGACCTGACCTTGCGTACCCTCTTAGTATCCGGGCACGCTACGTTGCACCCGGGAGACACCGGCCAGAGCACTGGGAGGCTGCTAAGAGGGTGTTGCGCTACTTGTGCAGTACATCAGGCATGGGGCTGGTGCTTGGAGGACGGAGTTCAGTTGTCCTCACTGGACACTCAGACGCGTCTTGGGTTGACGACCTGGCTACGCAGCGGTCGTCACAGGGTTACACTTTCAACCTTGGCTCCGGCTTTGTTTCTTGGCGGTCTACTCGCTCGTCTTCTGTTCTCAGCTCCAGTTGTGAGGCTGAGATCTACGCAGGAGCCATGGTTGCACAGGAGTTACGCTGGCTCACCTACCTGCTGACCGACTTGGGAGAGCGGCCTCGTTCTCCTCCAGTCCTGTACGTAGACAACAAGGCCGCTATTGCCTTGTGTCAGGAGCACAGACTAGAGCACAGAACGAAGCACATCGCTCTGCGTTACTTCCTTGCTCGAGAGTTGCAGCAGCGTGGTCAGCTTCGTCTTGCTCACGTGGCCAGACAGGCCAACACTGCTGATATATTGACCAAGGCACTTCAGCCTGGTGATCATCAGCGTTTTTCTACTGCTCTAGGCCTTGTCCCTACTTTGTCTCACTTGCTCACTGTGTGACCTTGCATGTACTGTGATCTAAATATATATACCCACTTGCTTACACCTGTTATGTTGTGATCACTGTACTGTTTGTTCTCTTTACATAACTCTGCATGTGAACTGGCCTTGTGGCTATTTGCTTGTGCTCAGAATGTGTGGTGACTTCGTGATCCACCCTGAGCTTGCTTTGCTTTTCTTGGCTGGTCTTGTGACCACTGGTTCTCCCCCACTTTGCCTATGGGGGTGTGTCAAACTATAATGATGCTTATGTTGTGTAGGCTATAGTGGGGTAGCCCATAAGGGGTACAACCCAGATTAGGGTTAGTACTTGGACCCAGTTCTGTTCTCAATGCATCATTCTCGTTCAGTTATTCTGACACCCCTCCTCGTCGTGCTCCCTTCCCCTCCCCATCGTTCTACCTTCCCCTCCACGTCGCGCTCCCTTCCCCTCCCCGTCGTGCTCCCTTCCCCTCCCCGTCTCGTTCCCTTCCCCTCCTTATCACGCTCCCTTCCCCTCCCCGTCTTGTTCCCTTCCCCTCCCCGTCTCGTTCCCTTCCCCTCCCCGTCTCATTCCCTTCCCTTCCCCATCTCGTTCCCTTCCCCTCCCCGTCTCGTACCCTTCCCCTCCCCGTCTCGTTCGCTTCCCCTCCCCGTCTCGGTCCCTTCCCCTCCCCGTCTCGTTCTCTTCCCCTCCCTGTCTCGTTCCCTTCCCCTCCCTGTCTCGTTCCCTTGCTTCCGTCATAGCCTCTCCCCTTGCCCTATGTTGTTTTACCCTCCGTCCCTATGCGGTGTCCCCCTTTCCCTACAATATGCTTTCCCCCTTCCCTCCGCCCTTCCTTTCCCATAATTTCTGCGCGCTGTTTCCACTTTCCCCAGCGCTGCTCGCCCTTACGTACTCGCTAATCGCGGACTTCCCCCTGCGCAGCTCCACCTTCCCTACGCGCTTTTTCCCCACTTCCGGCCCGCAGCTCCCCGTTCCTTATGCGTCGCTTCTCCAATTTCCGACGCGCCTCTCCCCCCTCCCTACTCGCTGCTTCCAGATTCCTCACCCCCACAATCCCGTTTTCATTCCTTCGATTTCCCCCATGCCATATCTCCCGGTCTACGCCCTTGCCTTTCTCGCCGTGTCACCCGTGCCCTTCCCTCCAATTTGACCTTGCCCTTCCCTTCTTTCCTCTCTTGTTCTTCCCTCCTTTCTCTCCTCGCCTTACCCTCTGCATCCCATTGCATTCCCCCTTGCACTGCATCCCGTTTTGTCATTTTCTGCGATTCCACTTCCCACCATTGTGACTAGCCATGCCATGTACCGTCATCGCCCGGATATAAGACATACCGTAATACCCCAGATATAAGACCCGTACCAGTTGCAGACCCCACCGGGTCTATAATACGGAGGGGGTACGCAAAATAGGTCGTTTGGAGTTGTACCCCCCTAAAGGGGGGCTAACATTATAAGACCCCCTCCCCATAGAGACAGTGTCATTATATAGCCAATTATGGTGGCTTGCATGTTTTTCTTACAGTTTTCCACAACCAAACCCACAAAAAAATAATTAGGGAGGGAAAACAGTCACAAAGGCACACACAATTCTAATCATCATCCTACCCAGCAACCCATTCCTCAACCTCCTCCCCGTCATGCCGTGGAGTTCATTACGCGTATTTTCTCAAAATGTTAAAAATAGTGTACACATGTCTGACTTCCAAATCTCAAGTTATATACATGACCTTTTGATAAGACCCGGGTCTTATAACATACTGCCAACTATGTAGACCCCCCCAATTTTTGGGGTGGGATTCTTATAATACCCCTGGGTCTTATATTCGGGGTATTACGGTATATGTCTTATCTCGTACACGGGCAAAAATGCTTGGGTTGTCTTGTATTTGGGACGGTTTAGGGTGTCTTATAAGTCTTATAAATGGACAAAGAACCGTTTAGAAGATACGGTACCCTCTCGTTATACAATTGCCCCTAGCCCCTACACTTGTTTAATGCGTACACACAAATAAGTGTCTTATAATGAGGCTAGCCTGTTTATAAGAGACACCCGGATAATAGACAACCCCTGTCTACTATTCAACACTGTCTACTATCCGGGCGATGACGGTATTGATGTTGGGTGTTTTGTTATACGGTAATACAAACAAACCCTGAGCTTAGAAGGAGCAGCCATGCACATGACCACTACAAAAAAGTGCAACAGAGAGAGTACTTTATTTTTCGAGAACTGACTATCAACACGAACAAGACAGCTAGGAAATGTAATGTTTTATACCTGCTACACTTCATGCAATAAACCCAGGGCCATGGTGCTGGGACTTGTACCCTGCGCGGTTGGGAATGGGGGTGAGTGGAAGGGGGAACAGATTGAGCAGCTGAAAATAAGGTGAACAGGCAGAAACAAAGCGAATAGCAGGGAAGAGAGTGAGCAGGGGAAACAGAGTGAGCAAAGGGGAAGAGAATGAGCAAGGGAAGCAGAGTGAGCTGGGGGGAAGATATTGAGCACGGGAAACAGAGCGAGCCGGGGAAGAGAATCAGCAGGGCGATGGGAGGGGGAAGTGAGGGCGATGGGAGGGGGAAGCGAGGGCGATGGGAGGGGAAAGAGAGGGCGATGGGAGGGGGAAGCGAGGGCGATGGGAGGGGGAAGCGAGGGCGATGGGAGGGGGAAGCGAGGGCGATGGGAGGGGGAAGCGAGGGCGATGGGAGGGGGAAGAGAGGGCGATGGGAGGGGGAAGCGAGGGCGATGGGAGGGGGAAGCGAGGGCGATGGGAGGGGAAAGCGAGGGCGATGGGAGGAGGAAGCGAGGGCGATGGGGGGGGGAAGCGAGGGCGATGGGAGGGGGAAGTGAGGGCGACCGGAGGGGGAAGTAAGGGCGACGGGGGGGGTGGGAGAGGGCGACGGGAGGGGGAAGCGACGGCGATGGGAGGGGGAAGCGAGGGCGACGGGAGGGGGAAGCGAGGGCGACGGGAGGGGGAAGCGAGGGCGATGGGAGGGGGAAGCGAGGGCGATGGGATGGGGAAGCGAGGGCGACGGGAGGGGGAAGCGAGGGCGACGGGAGGGGGAAGCGAGGACGTTGGGAGGGGGAAGCGAGGGCGATGGGATGGGGAAGCGAGGGCAATGGGATGGGGAAGCGAGAGCGACAGGAAGGGGAAGCGAGGGCGTTGGGAGGGGGAAGCGAGGGCGATGGGAGGGGGATGCGACGGCGATGGGTGGGAGAAGCGAGGGCGATGGGCAGAGGAAGCTGTGGCGACGGATGGGGAAGCTTGGGCGAAAAGGGGGAAGCGAGGGCGACGGACGGGGAAAGCGAGGTCGACAACACTCTGATTTCTCACGCCGTGCCGCACATTATCACCATGCTTCACACTCGCATTCGTTTTCCGTTCCCTCCCTTGGTCCTCTGCTTCCTCTCGATTCCGGCGGAAAAAAAAAATATATATACATATATATTTTCACATGTTATACGTAGCAATTTTAATCTGGATACTTAGGTCGTATCCCAGCCTTGTGTCAAGAAGTTGGTGGCAAGAAGTTTGCACACGCGATTGGTCCAAAACAGACGCCCGACCAATGCGATTGGTCAAGCGTTTTTTTTTTTTACCAATCGCGTGCGCGAACTTCTTGCCACCAACTTCTTGACACTAGGCTAGGATACGACCTTAGTTTCCTAACACTTACGTTCTAACTATCTGGTACTTACGCACGCTGTTCTCAGCCTGCTCCAAGAGTGCACTTGCGGACTCTGGCAAAATCCTGGGTTGTGAGTTGCGTGAGGGTGGTTGGGTTTGTTCAAGTTTCTTGAGGGCGGGGCCAGCGCGTTCATTTTACACAATGGTACAGTTCATCCTGAGCGGTTACTCTCGTTTCGTCACGGTCTAGAACGGTTGATCAAGAAAACCGTTGTAAACCGGTTGGAAATTTTCTACACCACGACAGATGAACTGTACAACCGTGAAAAACGAACACGCTGGCCCCGCCCTGAAGTTGAAGTTGAAGTTGCGATGCACTGTGGAGCATTCCGCCTTCGCCACCTCCCTCCGGCAAATTTTCTCTCGTCAACCTTCGCGCAACCCCTTTTGAAGTTCAGTATCTATGAACCCTTGCCATTCTAGGCGCCGGCTTTAATTTAGAGATGGTTAGCTGTGTGTCCATGTGGATGTGCGGTTGTGCGGGCGTGCCATTGTGTTGCTCTGCCAATATATGCACTATGCAATGACGCATTTTGTAAAACGCCAATGGACGCCTCAGTTGTGCTGTTTCGAAATTTCGACGTGCGCAATGCGATGTTGTGTTTCGTGTGCGACATGCGGTCGCTGTTCAAAATCGCTAGCCAACGAAATTACGTTTAGACACACCCTGAACTGACATTCGATTGGTCGATTTCGACCAATCACCAACATGAACTCCTGCCAAAATATCTGGAAAGATGTAACGCGGTTTGTCCACGTGGCATTAGCAACAAAAACGTGACGTGAACATCACTTCGCCAGTCACATTTCTGAGACTTTCTGTACGAAAGAAGTCCAACGTCACATTTCCGTGACTTCACTTCTTGATACTTCTGTCCATGAAGATTACGTGACGGAAAATAGTCACGTATTCATCACAAAAAAGTCACATTTCTGTGACTTTCCGCCCTTGTCAAAACCGGGCTAGTAGCCCTAACCTACGTGAGGAGAGTCAAACGCGGCTGCCCGCCGCCGCAAAGAAGTCCTGGGTGATGAGGTCCTCTATTGTGGCAAAGGAGGACAGCTCGGGAAAAAGGTAGAGCAGTATAAGGCGGCCGAGAGCAGCAGTGGCAGGGGAGGAGTAACGTGTTAGAATCCAGCAGGAGAATGAATGATCTATGAAAGAGTTGGGTACAAGTACTAACCCTAATTGGGTTGTACCCTATACAGGCTACCCCACTACAGCCTACACAACACAATGTTCTGACACACCCCCATAGGCAAAGTGGGGGAGTCCGTATAAGCAATCTCAGAGAAGCAAAGAAAGCTCAGGATGAATCACGAAGTCACCACGCAGTCCGAGCACAAGCAAATGGTCACAAGACCAGTTCACATGCAGAGTTATATAAAACAGAGCAAACAGTACAGTGATCACAACCTAGCAAGTGTAAGCATGCAGGTATATGTATAGATCACAGTACAAGCAAAGTCACGAAGTGAGCAAGTGAGACGAAAATCGTAGGCACAAGGCCAAAAGCAGTACAGAAACGCTGATGATCACCAGACGGAGGTACCTTGGTGAATATATCAGCTGTGTTGGCCCGAGTGGCCACATAAGCAAGACGAAGCTGACCACGCTGCTGCAACTCTCGAGCAAGGAAGTAACGTAGAGCGATGTGCTTCGTTCTGTGCTCCTGACACAAGGCAATGACGGCCTTGTTGTCTACGTACAGAACTGGAGGAGAACTAGGCTGCTCTCCCAAGTCAGTCAGCAGGTAGGTGAGCCAGCGTAACTCTTGTGCAGCCATGGCTCCTGCGTAGATCTCAGCCTCACAACTGGAGCTGAGAACAGAAGACGAGCGAGTAGAACGCCAAGAAACAGAGCCGGAGCCAAGGCTGAAGGTGTAACCCTGTGACGACCGCTGCGTAGCCAGGTTGTCAACCCAAGAGGCGTCTGAGTGTCCAGTGAGGACAACTCGACCCTGTCCTCCAAGCACAAGCCCCATGCCTGATGTACTGCACAAGTAGCGCAACACCCTCTTAGCAGCCTCCCAGTGCTCTCGCCGGTGTCTCCCGGGCGCAACGTAGCGAGCCAGGATGCTAAGAGGGTACGCAAGGTCAGGTCGACTACAGGTCATCACGTACATAAGCCAAGCCACAAGCTCTGGATACGGACCACTCGGCTCTACAGACTCGTCCGAAGGTGGAGCTGAGAGCGAGTGACCGGTAGGCAGAGGAGTGGACTGTGGCAAGGAGAACTGGAAGCCGAAGCGCTGAAGGACATGCTGCACCATGTGTGACTGAGTCAGGGTGATGGTGCGCCGTGCTCTGTCCCAGGTGATCTGCAAGCCAAGATAGCTGCGCAGCTCACCCAGGTCTGTGCACGTGTGTCTCTTCTGCAGCTCCGACTTCACAAGGGCCAGTGCCTCAGTGTCAGCAGTGGCAAAAACCAAGTCGTTGACGTACACGAGGATGTAGTTGGCAGCAACGAAGTGTCTGTCCGTAGAAACAGCGACGGGTCAGCAGTCGAAGGAGCAAACCCGAGAGCCGCAAGTGTCGTCCTCAGTGTGTCGTGCCACTCACGAGGCTCCACTGGGTACCTGCAAGAAACGACCCAGTGAAGCCAGGTGGGCGGCGCAGCCAGATCTCCTCGTGCAGGCTGCCCTGTAAGAAAGCAGTGCTGAAGTCAAGAGAGTGAAGCTCGTAGTCACGCTGAGCGGCAACGTGCAGCAACACCCGAAGAGTGGTCATCTTCGGGGTAGGGGAGAAGGTCTGGAAGAAGTCAACTCCCTGTCGCTGACTGAAGCCTCGTGCAACGTAACGAGCCTTGAAGACAGGCGGAGAACCCGGCGGCCGCTTCACCCTGAAAATCCACATGCCATCGACTATGTTTGCCCCAGGAGGGGGAACTGCGTCGACGTAAGTGCCTGTGGACTTCCAGGATGCCATCTCTGCGTCCATGGCAGTCTGCTACAGAGCGCGGTAGGGACCAGTAATCGCCTTTGCGTAAGAGCGCGGGGTCGGGATGTCCAGTGCATCCGGGTCTCCCTCAGGTGCAAGCAGCATGGCCACGAGATGAGGTACAGTGGCTGCAAGACACTCAAAGTCCTCCTGCCTATCCTCAAGGACGTCCGTGCCAAGAGCACACTCACCCCCGACGAACGGAGGACAGACAGGCTCAGACTCAGCAACAAGACTAGCGGCGTAGTCTAGACGACACGCAGCAGCAAAGTCCACAAGCTCAGCAACTAAGGCAGACGCAACAGTAGACTCAAACGACGGGTCAGTGACGACTGTGGCCAGGAGACGCGTGACAGTGGGGCTGGCAGCACGAACCAAGTCAGACTCAGGGTCCGGGATGTCAAGAAGAGAGGACGTAGGAGGAGACGGCAGGGGGACACGCTGCGGAACAGAGGAAGGACGAAGTGCCATAGTGTGAGTACCTGGCACAGGAGGAGGACGCGGACGAGGGACACGACGAGCACGGCGAACAGTGCGAACAGGGGAGGCAGGACGAGACTCGGGCTCACGACACTTGGTAAGGGAGATTGGCTGCTTAGTGTAACGAGGGGGGGCAAGCAGCGGTGAGTCTAGAGGAAGGGCAGTGGACGAAGGAAGACTAAGAACCTGACGGAGCACCGACTCGGGCGGTAGTGAGGACAGCTGCGGCGACGGCAAGAAAAACGGGCGATGCTGCACAGGGCCCCCAGCTCCAGCACCTCCAGCTCCAGCACCTCCAGCACCAGCGCCTCCAGCTCCAGTGCCTCCAGCTCCAGTACCTCCAGCTCCAGCGCCTCCAGCGCCAGTGCCTCCAGCTCCAGTGCCTCTATCTCCAGTGCCTCCAGCTCCAGCACCTCCAGCGTCAGTGCCTCAAATGCTAGCGCCTCCAGTTTCGGCGCCTGCAGCTCCAACGCTTCCAGCTCCAGCGCCTCCAGCTCCAGTGCCTCCAGCTCTAGCGCCTCCAGCTCCAGCAGCGCCACTCCGAAGGCAGGCACCCCCAGGCTCAGCACCCCCAGGCTCCGTACCCTCATGCTCAGCACCCCCAGGCTCCACACCTCCAGGCTCAGTACGCCTAGGCTCCTCACGCTCAGGCTCAGCACCCCCAGGCTCCGCACTCGCAGGCTCAGCACCCCCAGACGCAGCACCCCTAGCAGCACCAGAGTCACCAGTGACCTCGACAGGCTCAGCCAAGGGAAGTGGGTCTACCTGAGAGACACCTGAAGGAGCAGGACCTTGAGGGGGGAGGGGGTCTACCGGAGGGGGACCTGGCGCGAGGAAGTGTGGCGGGGGGGGGGGAAGAGGGGCAGTGCGGTAGGGGAAGAGACGGTAGAAGGGAACCGACTCGTCAAACGTGACGTCCTGAGAGGACAGAATACTGCGCGTGGTGGGGTGGTAAAACTGCCAGCCAGGCGCGTCAGGGGGGAAGCCAAGGAAGACGCAGGGAATGGCGCGAGAGGAGAGCTTGTCCGCGGAGGTATCCCAGACAAAGGCACGAGCGCCCCAGACCCGGAACACCGACGCATCGCCAACCTCCCCCGTCCAACGCAGTGTAGGCGAGGTCTCCGACAAGGAGACACGGGGCCAGAGGTTGAGCTGATGTGCAGCGTACCGGACCGCAAACGGCCACAAAAAATGGGGAGCAGCCGCATGGATCATGGAGGTACGAGCCACCTCCATGACTAAGCCAATGCGGCACTCAGCAATCCCATTCTGCTGTGGGGAGGCCGGAAGCGTGCAAACGTCCCGCAAGAGGTCGGAGGAAAACTCACCACCTCTGTCAGAGTGCAGACGCATGACAGGAAAGTCCGTGCGGAACCGCTCGCGGAGCAAGAGACGGACTGCGCGGATCCAGGGGATCAAAACATCAGGGACCTCACCCTTGTTGCGCAAGGGGAAGACCGTGGTGTAACGCGTGTAGTCATCGACAACCAGCAGAAAGTATCGCTCGCGGCCCTGTCCCTGGACGCGGGCTGGGCCCCACACGTCCATGTGGAGAGTCTGCAGGGGAGCCTCTGTCGGGGGAAACGAGGAGGAGTGAGGAGCGGCGCGCTGCCTCCCCTCGACGCAAGGAAGGCAGGGCGGGGCAAACGAGCGCGGGAGGGGGGGCAGAGACCTGGGAAGTCCAGAGCCAAGGAGGCGGGAGTGCATGCCATGGAGGCGTGGCAGGGAGGGGTGACCAAGGCGGTGGTGCCAGAGGAGAGTCTGGTGTGAGAGGAGGCGACACGAACAAGGGGCTGACAGCTGACCTGACGCAGACACCTGACCAGACGCAGCGACCTGAGTAAGCTCAGTAGTCAGTGTGTACAGGCTCGACCTAGGCCGACAGGTGAACGTGGCCAGGTGACGGCCCGTCCGTGCACACGTGCAGATCGCCACACGCTGTCCTCCAGGGGTAAAGGTATCAACCCAAGCATCCTGAAGGACGGCGTTACTCACCAAGTTCGTAGAGAACGAGGGGAGGTGAAGACCTGTCAGTGAGCCAGA